CAGGGAGGAGGGCCTGACCTCCAGGCGTGGAGGTGGCCTCACTGTGTCATGGCATTCCACACGGTCACACTTCTTGCCTCTCGGTGAGTTCGACCCACCCCAGTTCCTGCACCCTCCCATCCAGCTCCCAGTAGAAGAGCCAACGTCTGCTGGGCACAGACAGGGGACCAGTCCCTCTTCCAAGCACTGTGCCCTTACTCCCCACGCCAACCTAAAGAGGTTCAGGATATGATTATTCTCATTTTACAGGGAGGGAAACTGAGGTTCAGAAAGGTTTGGGTTTTGTTTTTTTTTTCTTCCGTTTGGTTTGTCACTTAGGTGACACAGCCGAGACGTCGGAGCTAAGATCTAACCCTGGGTCATCAAAGTCCAGGTCCGAGTTCATAACCACTCTGGCAGGCTGCATAGTCCCCTGCCTTATGGTGCACTCCCCCTGGTGGGTGCAGCAAGGATCCCCCAAATCCAGGGAGAGCACAGCAGACAACAGCTCAGGCCTTCTGACCCACAGGTTCAGGAGAGCCAGGGCCCCAACAGCACGCGTGGGAGAAGCATGAGTGTTGGAGCAGGGGCTGGGAGCTCTCTGTGTGCTTTCCTGCCTGACAGACTCCTGGCCCCCAGGAGATGAGCAGTTTCCCTAAGGCCCATGAACACCCCAAATGGCCAAGCTAGGGGTTCCGGGCTCTGAGAACACAGATGGGGCACCCCATGGGCAGGGGCCCTCTCCAAGGCCACCGAGGGACTGGGAGCCATCCCGCCAGCCTGGCTGTCTTCCATGTGCCCTCGGAGGTGGCCAAGCCCAAGGGAGCCAGTTGGTCCCGTCCGGCTGGCCCAAGGTCACCAATAGCTTCGAAAACAATAGGCAGTGGGTCCAGCCATAGCCGGGTCCAGAACAAAGGCCTGGGTACTTCCTCGCATTGAGGCCCCCTCCTTCATGGTTTGCCAAGACAGGAGACGGAGGAAGCCTTCATCAGGAGGTAGGGATGTTTTGCAAAGACTGTTCCCGGGAGAGCTGCGGCCACCGATGCCAACAGGGGAGCGCACACAGGGGCCGGCCGCTCAAGGCTGAGGTCTGCCTGCCAGGAAGCAGGGGAGAGAGGGCCTGGACTCCAAGCCCACGGGCCCCCCACCTTGCTCCGTAGGCTGAATCACTGAAATGCAAGCGACTTCCCACTACGGCTCCTCCCCGGGGCCCGAGCTCCGAGGTTGGCATCCGCGCTTTGAGCCACGCTGCACGCTGTTGCAGCACAGTCTTCTACAGCAGTGTGGGGCCAGCTCTGCCCAGCTCTGAAACCCCCCATGGCTGCCCAGTGCTCCGGAGGCAGCATGAGTTCCTCTGCCTGGCATGCAAGCCCTTTGGCTCTGATATGCCTTAACTTCCTGCCAGCCCCTTCCTCCTGGCAGCTCTGCCCCTGTCCATCGGCCTGGGGTAGCTCTGCCCCTCCTCCTGCCCTCCCCTCCTCCAGGGTTCAGCTGCAATCCTCCCCCGTCTAAGAAGCCTCCCTGACTGCTCCAGCCCATACACGTTCCCCTCATCTGAGCCCTATGCCCCCAGTGAAATCCAAGGAGGATCTCAGCCCAGGAGTCTGGAGAACACCAAGATAGGAAATCAATCAATAATAGAACAACCAGGGGCGCCTGGGTGGCTCAGTCGGTTAAGCGACTGCCTTCGGCTCAGGTCATGATCCTGGAGTCCCGGGATCGAGTCCCGCGTCGGGCTCCCTGCTCGGCGGGGAGTCTGCTTCTCCCTCTGACCCTCCCCCGTCTCATGTGCTCTCTGTCTCTCTCATTCTCTCTGTCTCAAATAAATAAATAAAATCTTTAAAAATAATAATAATAATAGAACAACCCTTCCTTAGAGTAAGGTTCCCATGCACAGCACAGTGTGTTTATACAATTGTCCTGATGTAATTATTAATGTACCCCCTCAGCTTCAGCCCCAGTGCTGGAGCAAGGGAGGCGTGAGGCAGGGGGGCAGGGTCCAGAGATGGGGCCGACAACCCGTGTCTCCGGAGCCCCGAGAGTTCTCACAGTGGACACCCAGGCAGGACACAAGGAAGTGGGTGCTTAGCATGGAGATAGACTCCATTCCACAGGGAGGTGGGACTTTGCTGAACCTCACAGATGTCAAGGGGCCTTAAAACAGAAAATGCCAGATAAGCACCCAGAATTGCCCTTATCAAGGGCCACAGGAAAGGCGCCAGGTTTAATCTCAAAACCACACCCGGAATCAACGGTTTAGAGACTTCGGGCAGTGCCTCCCCACCCCAGCACCCAGTGCCTGGGGCTTTACGCCTGGAGGCAGGGTGGGGGAGGGCTTCTTCAGAGATGGGGAATAAACTTTGGGCTTCATCCCCCAGGATGGGACAGGTGCCAGAGGGAAGGGAGGGAGGGAAGACAAGGGGCCCCATGCCCAGGGACAAGGAAAGCAGGGCACTGTGGCAGGGGGGTGGGGGGGCTGGTTTGCACGCACACATACGTGCACATGTGGGGTAATGGGAGAAACCTGTAGCTGGGTGCCAACCACCAACTGGGATCTGGGCTGTGAGAGAGGAGCTGATTGAGGGCATTCGGAGGACTGGGCCTGCACTTTAACTAGATAATCCCAGAGGGCTTCCTAGAGTAGGGGCTTAGGAGATAGGCTTTGAGGGTCTGGCTGGATTTGGCAGATGGTCACGGGAGGCCAGGACCCAGGTGCAGCAAAGAGCACTACCAAAGGCTTCAGGCAGCAAGGGGCTTCTCAGGGAAGCAGCTGCTATGGTCTGGGGTGGGTAGAGTATGGAGCTGGAGGAGGAAGCGAGGTGGGGAGGCAGAAGGACAGGCAGGTTGGAGTCACCCCCTTAGAACCCCCCCACCAGATGTATTCCCTTCAGCCCAAAGGCCGTCTAGTGGTCTGGTCCCCCAGAGAACATTCCGTGAATGAGAAATGTCCCAGCAGGGGTCTTTTTTTTTTTTTTTTTTAAGATTTTATTTATTTATTTGAGAGAGAGAGAATGAGAGAGAGAGAACACATGAGAGGGGGAGGGTCAGAGGGAGAAGCAGACTCCCTGCCGAGCAGGGAGCCCGATGCGGGACTCGATCCAGGGACTCCAGGATCATGACCTGAGCCGAAGGCAGTTGCTTAACCAACTGAGCCACCCAGGTGCCCCCCAGCAGGGGTCTTAACTAAGACTTCCTGGACCTCAGTTTCCCCAACTATAAAGCGAAGGCCTTCAGTGATTTCCCAGGGAACAGGACATAGGATAGGCATCTCCGGGGAAGGCAGACAGGACAGTGGGACAAAGAACTTCGGTCCCGAGACAGCGGGAAAGGCCAATGATGGGCTGCTGTGACCACCAAGCCCCTGACAAGTGTGGGGCTCGGATTCCTCTCCTGTGCAGAGCCGGTCTGCTGGAGCGACATCCCTGAGCACCGTGCAGGCCCTGGCACTGGGCCACCCTGACCCACAGGCAGCCTGCCCGCCCACTCTCCCGCCCACCTGCCAACCTGCCCCTCGGCCTGCATTAAGCAATCTCTATTATCGCAAATGCCTGACATTTTTGCCTGGTAATTACAGCTCCCACAGCCCCATGAGGATTAGGGCATGATTAGGGAGTAGGGAGGACTCTGGCGGATGGAGAGAAATACTTGCAAATAGACGTGGCAGCCTGATTGCCTCCTTCAAGTTTAGGCTCCCGGAAGGGCTCAGTGGCCGGTGAGGATCATCCACGGGGCCTTGGAAAGCAAAAGGGCATCAGCATCGGTCACCTCCATCATCTCCTGGCCTCCCCCCTCACACTGCCTTTCCTGGGAGCAGTGCGGCAGCCCCTCAATGTGCCCCTCCCCTCTGCCCCACACCCACTCCCTGGCCAGGGGCAGAGATCTGAAGTCGAGTTCTGAGCAGACCTTGTCTCCCGGGAACACGTCCCAGCCCGGGGCCTGCCATCTGAGGCCTTCTTCCACTCTGTGCCTCCTCCCCTAATCCTCTGGGACTCCCACTCTCGGGTCATGAGACTCACAGACTTCACGAACTTTCATGGTCTCTTGCTTCTCACCATCTCACCATGTCACCTGGAATGATCTTCCATCCAATTCTCCACTTGTCAAAGCCATGCCCATCCATCAAGGCCTAGGTAAGATGCGACCACCGCCAAGGAGCCTCCCCCACCCCACCGGAAACTTTAAGAGCAAACACTTAGCAAGTCGTGGTGACACGCCAGGCCCTGCTCTGCACACCTCACTGTGCACTGACTCACTTAGGCCTCAATACAGCCCCATGCGGTGGGCATTTTACAGAGGAGGAAACTGAGGCCCAGAGAGCTTAGGTCAGGTGCTCATAGTCACACAGGCAGGAAGCAGTGGAGGCAAGACTAGACTCAGGCCTCTGGTCCTTCTGCTGCTTCTTCCTGGGACACTGCTCCCACCCATCCCTTCAGTACTTCCGTATGGGGACTCCCACTGTCACCCCCACAAAGTCACAAGCTCTAGAACGGAACTATCTCCCACTTTAACCTGATCCACCTGACGGTTTTGTTAAAGTGCAGATTCTGAATCAGGGGGGCATGGGTGGAGCCTGAGAGTCTGCATTTCTAAGAAGTTCTCAGGTGTGGCTGATGCGGCTGGTCTAAGGCCCACACATTGAGTAGCAAGGCTGGAGTCTACATGAGGGCAGACAAGTCCTCCTCTTGCCATTGTGAGGGCTTAGCCGAGCCAATGGCCTGGGGGAGCCTAAGACTGGTCCTTCACCCTCCCCGGCCCTCTCCAGAGCCTGGGCCCCCACCCCTAACTTCCCTTCTGCTCAGAAACAAACAGTGGGATGGGGTTCTGGATGCACTCCTGCCTGAGGATATCCCCCAACGCCCCCCCCCAAGCCTTGGCCCACCTCTGAATCCTTGCGGTTCTTCTGGCAGCTGCTCTTCTTACCTGTGGGGCTGCCACGAAGAGCCTACAGAGACAGTGGTGTGGGTGGCTCGGCCACCATTTGCACGTCCCCTGGCTGTGGAAGAAGGTGAAGAAAGCACTGGGCTCGCAGTGGAAGAGGCCAGTAGCTACTGAGGAATTCTTTGAGAGAGGCGTCAGTGTGCTGGGATCCCTTCCCCCAGCCATGGGGCCCGGAGGTCTGCATCTCCTCTCCTAAAGCCAAGTGAGGGAGGCTTCCAGAAAGCTGTTTAAAAGCTTGCCATGTGCACCCGCAGTGTGGGCTGGTCCCTGACTCCCACCTGAGAACAGGAGACATTGCTGTTCCCAACGGGTGGCTAAGCAGACAGGCAGGCTGAGGGGGGAAAGGTGTGACCTCCAGAACTGGGAAGGCAAAGATGTGTGGGTGCTTTGCATGGCTCAAATGTGGATCCTGCAGAAGGAAGACTCGGGTCTTCTTAAAAGGGGAAGGAGGAGGCTGACTGCACCACCAGAAGCTGGGTGGGAGCAGGTACTGGGAGCCGCCATCAGCAGGGGATAGAGCAGGAATCATCCGACTCGGGAGAGGTCCCTAGTGACTGGACGCCCGCCTAGGAGCAGGGGGAGGGGCATGTTTCCACTAATGGCAGAGTACGGGCTTGAGTGGCCTTGAGACTGCTCTTAACTGCTGGAAGAGCAGCAGGATCCACTGGCTCTTTCCTCCAGAGACCAAGAATTCGCACCTCCCTGAGATCGGCTTGTTCACTAACCCAGCCCACATTTGAGCACAGATGGGGTGGACATGCCCAGGTCGGTCCTGGGGAAGCCACTCAGCTCTAGGACTCTTAACTTTTTCTGGGGAATTCAGGAGGGTACTGGTCCAAGTCAAGTAGACCCTCTCCCTGGAAAATTACACATACGTACATGAACACAAAGATTTGAATATAATTTGGGCGGGAGACTCTGGACCCGCTGAACCTACCGACAGTCTCCCTAGAAAACCCTGTGCCTCGGGTGGAGAACAGCCGCCTGCAAGGAGGCATGGGCTTCTATTTCATTCTTGCAGACCTGGTGGCCGTACTGTGGGTCCACTCTCACTTCCGGACCTGGGAGAGGGTGGTGCTACGGCTTTGCTCATCTTGCGTCCCAGGAAGCCCCAGGCACCGGGTGTCAAACTGCATGTACCCGCATCTTGGCTTCTAGAAAAGCATTTCCATAATTTGTTGGAACTGGGTTTTTCAAGCAAAGCTGGGAATATTTTTATTTCTCCAGCCCTGCCAACAGGACCCTGGTCAGGAGGTTAAGTGAGTTTCATTGAAAAGACACACTTTTCCTTCCCAGGCTGATAAACAAGCCTGCTACAGGGAAACTGACTTCCTCCCCCCGGTGCTCAGCTGGAGCGGCCTGTCTCTGGCCAAGGAAAACAAATGCATAAACATTTCAGGGACATATAGGAAGCATTTCTGCTGGACGCCTGCTGTGAATGGCCACTGGAGTTTACACAGCAAACCCCAGGGGGGCCTCCACACAGCTTGGACAAAGCACGCCCTGCCCTCTCACTTCCCTCCCGGCTCCTCCCTAAAGACCCACAATAATCCAGCCACGACTCGTGCCCGGCCCACGAGAATGCAAAACAGGCCGTTGAGTTGTCACCACCAAATGCCTGGCACATAAAGAGAAGGGATGTCCTTTTAGCCAGGGCTGCAGAGGGAACACGGTCCCTGAGCTGCTTGCGTCCTGAGCACCGGAAGGGCACACAGAGGCTTGGGACCAGCCGCCAGCCAGCGTCTACAACTCTCCTGGGCCTCTCCCTGGGCCAGGGCAGACATGGGAGGAGCTCACACCCCAGTCCTTTCGTGCAAACACCCACCTCTACGGGGCCCGCTGCGGAGCTCGGAGCTCAGAGCTCCAGCCCAAGCGCTCGCTGGGCGCAGCAGGGGCCGGCACGGGGCCACGCTGCTGAGCGCTCTGCTGCCATGCTGCTCCCGGCTCCTCACATGGACGGGCTCATGATGGGGGCTCCCCGAGGCCAGTGCTCCGCCTCCGGGTGCCCTTGCTCATCCCACTGTTGGGAGCCATTGCAGAGCACAGTCCCTAACTTCATATTCCTTTTTAAAACCAGTAGGATGTAACCCCATGGAATCAAGGATGCTGCAACTGTACAAATTTCCCTTTATGAGTGATTATTCTTCCCATTTGTACCTATGCCCCCCGCCCCTTGCTCTGGAACATGAGGGCGTCCCCAGGCTCTGCCCACTCACATTTCAGGCAGTTCTCTTCACAAGTGCCTTACTGCAGCCACTGGGGGGCGGGGGGGGGGACTATCCCTCTGCTCATTCTCATCTTATTGCCCTCTGTGGCCAAGAGGTCCCTCCCTAGAAGGTTCTTCCCCCATATGCACTTGGCCAGGTCCACATGACCATCCTCCTGGGGCCTCGCAGGGATCCAGGTCTGCCCTGAGACAGGCTCCCAGGTGGCCTGAGTTGCCTTACAGAGCCTGGTGCCTTAGACCTGGGGCTGATCCAGACAGGATCAGGCTAGACCAGAAGCCCCGCCAGGGACACTACCAGACCAGAGGGCAAAGCCTGCCTGCAGAGACTCTCATTAGGTGATGTCTTAGCTCACAGGTCTCCAGGGCTCTCCACCATCACTGTTCCCACCCCAGCCATGAACCACGCAGACCTCATGCTTCCTTTGCCACAACAGAAGAAATGAGTCTCTCCGTCCTCTGCATGGGTTTGACTCCTGCTTTATAGAAAGCCAAATACCAGAAATAACGAGCCCAGGGTGCCCAGGCTAACCATATCACAGGCTTGAAGAGGGGAGAGGTGGCCCAGCAGGGAGCAAGGGAGGGATGCAGACAAAAAGCACAGAGGCGGTCCAATCCTTGGCAGTCATGGCTCAGCTGGGAGGGAGCTGTATAGCAGCACTCTGGGCCCTCATCACAGTCCTAGGGGCCCTTCATGGAAGGGGCAGGGAGGTTCTGGACGCTTCTGCAGCACTGTTGGCCCAGATGGGGGTGACACTCTTCTGAGAGACTTGTTCCTGAGGCCTGGGGCTCAGCTGTCACCCCCCAGCGATGAGTGGTAGAGCCATAGGCTTACCCACAGGAAGGGTCACAGGATGGGGTCTGAGCCGTTCCAGTTCACCGCTGCCCCCTTCCACCTACAAGCAGAGTAACAAATAAAGAGTTAGAGCTGCAGAGGCCCACACAGGAGCCATCTCTTGCCCTCACTCACCTGAAGGTCCTGTCTTAGTGGCTTTGAGGATTTCTGGTTCCAACCTCCCTACCTCGCCTCTCCACACACATATAAACCAACACACCAGGCCCTCACGAAACACAAACATACCTAGGACCCCAGAGAGCCACGGAGAAGACAGAAGTGGCAGGTCATTCATTCATTCATTCATTCATTCATGCTACAAGTGTTTATCGAGAACCTCCTCTGTGCCTGGCACTGCAGGGCCCTGAGCTGATGGGAGGGATCCACACATATGTGGATCCAGCCACCTTCCAGGGGTGCCTGATGGTGGTACTTGATAGCACGTGGGAAGACCCAGATAGGGAGAATCCTGGAGTGTTCCAGGTGCTGGAGCCTAGTACAGGAGGGAGAGAGGTGCAGCCCAGGTTGGGAAGCAGGCAAGGCGGCACCACACAGGACCTGGGAGCCTCAGAAGGATTCTGGGCTTTGCTCTAAGAGCCACGGGAAGCCAGTGAAGGGCTGGGAGCAGCTCAGTAAAACACAGATTTGCATTTTTTTTTTTTTAATTACTTGATGAAGTCTTAAGAAGCAGTGAGTATCATTTAACTCTATGTAGTCCGGGGCTAGATATAATTTAATACTAGTTCAATTCCAAAATAAAAGTTATTAGAGGTGTGACTATGGAATGACCCAACACTTAATTTTTAAAAAATTTTTATTCATTTATTTATTTTTGAGTGGGGAGTTGGCAGAGGGGGAGAGAGTGAGCGCACATCCTAAGCAGGCTCCACATTCAGCGGGGAGCCCAATGCAGGGCTCAATCTCACGACACCGAAGTCAAGACCTGAGCCTAAATCAAGAGTCAGACGCTTAACCAACCGAGCCACTCAGGCAGCCCCCAACACCTGATTTTAATACAGGGCACACTAGTTTTCTAAAGCAACTCAGAGGAATCACATTTCTGGCGGAAGGAATATTCCTGCAAGACCTGGCCTTGGGTATCTAATACATATACATACATCCTGAGATCACAGGAACCCGGAAGCAGATGTGTATACCTCAACAGCAGTGTTAGGGTGCAGAGTTTGAAACTAGGCTCTCGAAATGCTTTTCACAGTGAGAGTCTTGGGGAGGGAACAGACTTTTTCAAAACCTGAAGTTTTTCTTCTGACTAAAGTCAATATGTTAATGGCCAACAGAGGAGGGAAAAAAAGAAACTTTCCTCGTTTTAACTGTGCTTCTGCTTTGGAAAGTCCAGTCTCCCTGAGGTGGGAACCGTGACAGGTGAGTGAACAGGGTCTCCCAGAGGAAGACGCTTGCACCTCCCAACCGAGGTTTCAGTAGTGGTTGGCTGTAAACCCAACCTTCTCCACCTTCATGAAGAACACAGACTCCCTCTGAATTTCTTTCTCCCTCCTTCCTCAGGCTTCTGCTCTTTGTCTTTCCTCACGTCCGTGCCTTGCTTCAGTTGCCGCATCAATGTCTCTGGCCTTTAGGTTAACAGGGACAGCCTTCCAGAGGCAACGGGACTCATACTCACTCTGCTCTTATCAAATTACTTTGCTCTTGATTACAGGCACCTTCCTGGTATCTGTAAAGACTGTATTTTCCTCTGTTGAATTTTTTGCACACCTTAGACCAGCCCATTCCTCTTCAAACGAGCAAAAAGATTTCTCGCCATTTGAAGACAAAAAATCTTGGTGGTAATTCTGTGTGTCTTGCTCCCGGGGAGAGGTTTGGTGTGGGAAATATTTGCATATTGTCCGTTTTGGAACAGTGGCTATTCCGCTGTTCTCCTAGCTCCACCCAGCACACTGTGAGGATAGACGGAACATGAGAATGGAGTGTTCATCACCGTCTAGACACAAGACACAGCCCTGCCCTGCATTGTGCACACCAGTCAATGTCCTGAGACATTTTTATCCAGTCTATATATGAACGCTGAATTGTATCTTTTCGTTAAAATCCTCAGCATAAAAGGCTGAAATGGGTGGACAATAGAAGAAAACCTGCCAAGCCATGACTGTTACACTGTCTTAGGAAACTAGTCCTTCAAAACTAGCTCTGCGTGTTCTTCCGTATCACTGATGATGCCCTGTGACACCAGGACAGCCCACCCAAAATGGGGTGGTATATGACTTTTTGACAGCCAACCCTTTCCTTCCTGCACGAAAGGCTGCGAGGTACCTTTCACACCTAAGCCATTTGACCCCTGGGATCCTCCTGGTCACAGATGTTCAGAAGCAGGTCTGGATGTGCAAAAAAGTTTGCACACATTCCACAGTCTCTTCTCCAGACTAAGTGTTGGAAAAGCTACCTTAGCAAGACACAACTCCAAACATAACCTGTGACAAGACACATAACCCTCTTGCACTCATCCACCGACCCTGCCTCCCCTTCATTGTTGATCGTGTCATGTGAATCGAAACGGTTGGCACCACTGTTCCCCTGGCTGTGGGGGATTTAAGTGATTCTGTGGTGTCCGGGTGCTTTCGACTATTTCCTGAGCTGCCACGTGTCAGCACTGGGGCAGATCCAGAGGGATCTAGTAGGTGCTCGGGGGCTGAGCCACTGTGATGGACTCCATCGGTGTCAAAGTGTCTGTCACTGCTTGAACAAGAGGCACTGGCACTGTATCTGGAGACCACTCAACGTGGCTGGGAGAAGTCAGACCACGCCTCAGTCGCCGAGTGCCCACTGCCCGCTCTGTTTGGTGCTGGAGCCTGATGATGTTGCAGGGTGGCCCCTATAGGTCCAGCCAGTAGGGAATATGGATGCAGCTCTCAGTTGCACAACTGAGCAGGGTCTGGGGGTGGTAAGACAGGCTGGGAAGGCACTGTGCTGATCACAGGTTCCAAGGGACTAGGCTGACCTATTGCACCAAGTGGGTTAATAGTGCTTCAGCAATACGCAGCAACGTGACTCGGGGCTTAATCGATTCTACCATACAACTTGAGATTTTCAATTTTCTTTCTCTGTTCATCATCTTTTGCAGTTTTGAAGCATGTCACTAAAAGCTTTTATTATTCTATTACGATTTATAGGTAAGCATCAGCCTCTGTAAGTTTCTTATCCAAGTCTTAGACACTAGGGCTATATCCTGAATCCAGTCCCCCAGAAAGCAGCAGAAAGAAGACATGGAGGAGAGTGACATTCTGCCTGTAGCCTAGCTCCAGGCAGGCATCAGGATCCCAGATTGCAAAGGGAAAACCATTGCCCAGACCAGAGTGGTTTCTTGCCCCAGTCATGGTAAGAATGGAGGGGTGGCGGTGGCGGGAGTCAGAAGTACACCAGACTTCTTGTTACCATAAGCTCTATCCTCAGCCAAAACCCTTCTCCCATCCCTCTCCATCCCTCCCAGCCTTCACCCTCCCTACTCTGACAGGGAGAGAGAAGTTCCTTCTATGAGCTCCCAATCTGCAAACATCTCAGATCCCAGCAACATGGGATTTGGCTTCAGCACAGGGTTGAGTCATATTTGTCTACCACTTGAGATGTCCATGCCATACCAACAGTCACTGAGTCTTACAGTTAGGTGGTGGGGGTGCTTAGTTTCAAGGCTTTTTACCGAGGTAACTAACCCACCCCATCCCAGCCAACAGGTGCCAATGGTGGGGAAAGTATTAGAAGCAGCAGAGAAAAGCAGTTTACAGTTGATGAAAATCAAAGCAGAGATGTTTTTAAAATGGCAAGGGCTGAGATGCAAGGCTGCTGTGTTTGTGTGGGGATGGATGGTTCCGCGGTAGGAAAGTCCACGGTCAATTACAAGAACAGTAAACAGAGCTCTGCGTATGCAATTAGGGGCTGGCAGAGGGAGGGCAGGGATGAAACGGACCCGTAGACAGTGCAGGAGGCAGAATGAAAGCTCGCTCACCCAGGGTTAGATCAGGAGGCTGAGCATGAGAGTCTCCAGCAGGCTTTCTCGACCTCAGACCACTGACATTGTGGGCTAGGTAATTTTGTTCTGGGGGCTGCCTTGTGCACTGTGGGGTATTTAGCACCCTCCTCCCCCAGCTGCGATACCCAAAAATGTCTCCCAACATTGCCAAATATTCCCTGGGGCACAAAATCACCTGGTTGAGGACCACTGGCTTAGGGGTTGAGCTCTGTGAAGATGCTGTGGTCCCTGGAGCTCGGGGAGGCTCAGCATCACAGAGAGGACCCACCTCAGGGCCACAGATGAGGCCCTTCCCTCCCCGGGGCCCTAAACCAGAGCAGAGCAGTGGTCACCTGCCCCCACAGACTTTCAGCATTGATGCCACTAATGTATCTTGGGGGGCAGATGCCTAGTAGAGCCTATATCAGCAAGGAGAAGGGCACAGGCCAGGTTTTAAAGCCCCCAAGCTGACCAGTAGAGATACACCACAGAACTCTTGCTCACTGTGGATTTCCAGACAAGTATCATGTTGTGCAAGTGCCCCTTCCCGTGCTCCAGCCACTGGGATCAGAACACTCTGGAATGAGCTCCATAGGCTGTCTCTCCCCTACGGGCCTTGGCCTGTGCTGTGCCCTCCACCTGGAACAACCATCCCTCAGGATCAGATCCAAGATTCCTCCTTCTAGAAGTGTGCTCTGACCCCCAAGCAGCCTGGGGCTCCTCTCTCAGCACCATATTCTCATGGGGCCTCCCTCCCCCACGAGACTGTGAACCCCTCAAGGACAGAGCTGGTGTCACTCGCCTCTGTCGCCTCCAAGACCTCAGTGCCAAAGCACAGGTTCCCAGGGGTGCTGCTAGATGAACACACCCCTCCCCAGCAGCTGATCCTCCAGGAGCCCCAGGGGCCCAGTGGGGAAGGCTGTCTCCATTTGCACTGCACTCTCCCTTGCCTTTGACCCAGGCAATCACAAAGCCCAGCCCATGGCCCTTATCCTCTCTTGTCCCTTTCCCTCTGCCTCCTCCTGGTTGTTCCTCCTCCCTGTGGTCTCCAAAGGAAAGGGAATGCTTCTGCCTCTCCTTTTTCAACCTCACAACAGCTCAGGGAAGGGACCCTTCTACCTCAGCAAGAGATGAGGAAACTGAGGTCTAGAGCAGAACCAAGCCTTCTGGAAGTCATACATCGTGATGGCAGCACAGCCAGGACCGAGGTCTCCAGATTCCCGTCCTTCTGTCATGGTGTGGAGTGTTCTGCGAACCCAACCAGGGCAAGGAACCCAATGGGCAAGTGTGTGTGCAGGTTGCAGGACAGGGAATCAGAAGAGAGCGGCTGGGGCCATGGGAGCACCCAGGGAACCCTCCTTTGGCGGGTGAGGGGCACTGTGAAGAGGGTACCTGGGCAACAAGGTGTCAGCTGAGGTGTGAGGACCGGCGCAGTGGCGGGTGGGGATACACCTGAGGGACCTGGGCACTGAGCTCCAGCCCCTGGAAGGCACTGTTCACAGCTGAAATGATATTTTCAATTTCTTGTCTGAGCCTCCAAACAGAAACATCTGTGGCCCAGCCCCAGGCCCTGGTTGTGTGTTCTTTCGTCTTTCCTCTGGACCACAGACAACTGTTTCATTTTCTCCCACTCTGGCTAGGCTGGAAGCTCAAGAGGTCACTGTGTGTGTCTGGTTTGGAAATGACCATAAATGAGTTGTTTTTGCTGAGATGGTCAGAGAACAGAGAGCAGCGGGAACTGGGGTGAGGAGGACAGACCCCACATTCCTGACATAAGCATATAGGTAATGAGAGACTCCCTGAGGCCCAGATGCGAGTCACACTTGAGAGCAGAGGCGGCACGGGACCTGGGATCATTCGACTTAGGATGCTCTTCCGCAAAAGCAAAACCAAGAGTCTCGTCTTGTGTAATGTCAGTGTGGCAACAAAGCCAGGTGGTGGGAAATCACACTGCCCACTCAGTGACCTTCCCCTGGGCTGGGACAGCAAAGGCCTATGCTTCAGGATCTGTGCTGTTTGTGAGTCAAGGTATGGCCTGGGGCACAGAGCTCCAATCCGGACACCCCAATCTGTGAAAGGAAGACCCATGTCAGGTAGTGTCTTAAGGGCCTTTCCATGGAGCTCAGCAAGCTGCCAGCCGGCCAGGGGTGTGGTGTGCTCCGTGCTGGGTCAGGGTGAGTATCAGAGGTCCTTAGGGGGCAAGAGAGCTAGGTTTAAGGGTAGGCAGCCCATCTCTGCCTGGATTAGGACAGAGTGGATCATGAACTTGACTTCTATTCAATTGTGAACTCTCCGAGAGCAAGAACCCAGAGTCTTATCTGGCTATTTCTTCCATGGAGTCCAGCCCAGGGGTTCCATGAGGTTGAAGTGATGGGCCCAGGGGCCTGGTCCATCCTGTGGTAATGACCTGAGATGTGGCCTGAGTTCAGGCCATGGCACCACATGTACCCCCTTCCTGTCAGGGCGGGGACCTCCAATGGGCAGCAGGGCTCATCCCCCCAGGAGGCAGGGCCTTTCTCCCCAGGGTCTTCACTGACCTTGAAGGCCACTTTCCCAAGTTTCTCCCTTTGAGCTGTTCGAGAATCTGGGATGAAAACAAAACGCAAAGCCTTTGTAATCCAACCCCTTGGAACAGGATTCCAGGAGGCTGGGCCTGCTGTTTCCCATTACAGTGGTATGTTATCTGATGGGTACTGGGAGGAGAGGGGAGAACCAGCATTCCCACTGTTCACTCACCCACTTAGCTTTTCTGAGAATAATGCTGGGAAAAACCTCACCACATTAACAGTTCAGGTGGACCCACCATGGTGGGGCAGGTGGTAGAGGTCATAGAAGAGGCAGGCAGCTGGTTTCGGGAAAGTCCCCCTCCTACCTGGGGGAGGGTGGGGGAGGGGTGGGGCAGCCCCCAGAGCCAGGAAGGAAGGACCCCTGGCCCGGAGTATTACAGCAGGCCAGATGCTAGAGGCTCAGCACTTCACCTGACATCTGACTCACAAGGCAGCCAGAAAGGGCCACAGAGGGATAGGCTCTGCCCTCACCCGGCACCAGAAGTTCTCAGAGTGTGGTCCTGAGTCAGCAGCACGAGCAATTCCCAGGAACTCCCCAGATAAGCCAACTCCAAGGCCCCACCTAGCTCTACTGAACCAGAACCCGTGGGGGTAGGACCCACTGATGTGCGCTTTACCACACCCTCCAGGGATGCCTGCTAAAGCCTGAGGACCACACTCTAGAGCAAATCTTCCCAATGGCTGAACCACAGACGGAGACAAGTGTGTCAGAGTATTGATCCCCACATCCATCGGGGGCTGGCTGGAGTCTGGGCCAACAGAGTCGCCAGGCCAGTTGTCCCCAACCCTGTGTGCTGCACAAATGTGATTTTTTATCTGTGTTTACAAAGGACTAGGAAGCATGGCTAGAGCCTTGCCCGACCCCCACGCCCTGACAGCGAGCAGGAACAGAAAAGGGCAGGGCAGGGACTCAGCCTGGACCATACGCCCCAGGCCAAGGGATCGTTCCTGGCGATAGGCAGAGACCCCCGTTTCCCCCGTCATATCATGGCACACGGCTACAGCTGGGACGGGCGGGGCCCTGGGAGAAGGGGACAGCGGCCAGAAGAGGAAGAGGCACTCCAGGCACAGGTTCATGCTCAGACGACCCTGGACTGAGCTCCCCGACAGACCAGAGCCCCGAGTCATTGTCAAGCGCTGGACGGTTAGGGCTGAGCCCACAATGTCCAACCCCAGGGCCCACTGGGGGAACTGGTGAGTCCTGCAGTGGAACCATTCTTGGGAAAAGAGGAGTTATTTCAGCAGGGGCTGTTGGAGAGGTCCTGGGTGGTGGCCCCCCAACGCCCTTCAGACGGATGGAGGCCTTCGGGGCTGGGGAGGTGGGCGGGGCCTGTGCCCAGCGTGCGGTCCACGCCCTACTTGGCAGGACCGCCTGCAGGAAGGATGCCTTGTGGTCCCCGGCCCCATCCTGCGGAGGGTGCCAAGGCCAGCATCACCTCCTTTTTCCACTGCTGCCCTTCTCTCATCACCTGGAATGAGTGGCCCTTTGTACATGAAAGGAAAGCAACCCGCATGGGCCTTTAATCCTCCCGACGAAAGAAAAGCCAGCACATGATCCCACAAGAATGCTTTGTCCCTGGCTTGGTGGGCAGGCAGGCGGACGGATGAGCAGATGGACGAATAGGTGGGGCCTAATGAGGATGTCCCAACATCTCCTGCATCCCCCCGCTGGTGTCCCCACTGTGGCCATGGCTCCAGTCAAGGGCTCACTAGCCTGCAGGTGGGCAGCACCCCGAGGCTGCAAGTGAACCCCCTGGATCACAGGTGGTCAGAGCCCCAGGGCCTCAGCATTATCCACGTTGCCCACCCCAAGCCAATCACTTCACAGTCAGGGACATGAGGTTCGCCTGAGGTCACAACGCAGCACAGGCCGCTAAGACAGAAACCGTGAGAGCTATTACAGAGCACCTGGCGGGATACCGGGCGCTCTCACAACAGCCCTGTGCTCGGCTCTCCCACTTTCCCAGTCTTACAGCTGATAGTGTGAGGGACACATAGGTGAAGTCTAACAGCTCATGGCCAGAAAATGGAAAGGATTCAAACTCTAGAACCCACACTCACCACATGCGAGTTCTAGCACTTCCCCAGAAGGCACTGGAATGCAGACCTGCTCCCTCCCAAGGCTGCTCCCCCCACTGCACCCTGAAGCCTCCAAGTCACTACCCAAAGGCTTTGTGAAAGGCCCCTGTGAGGCTGGGAGGAAGGGGGCCAGAGCTCCAACCCCACAGCCCTCCGGAGTTCTGTTCCCAGCCCTGGGGCCTTGTCAGTGGGCTGATGAGTCAAGTGAGCCCCAACTCACCCCGAGCCTGAGCGGGAACAGGGGAGTCAAGGAGACGCCCCCACCCTGTGTCTGAGGCTACAGGGCACCTCTGCTCGGGGTTCAGAGGGCCCAACCCACACCAACAGAATGAGGGGGCTGCTCCCCCCAGATGCAGAGGGCACCTCTGCTGCAGGAAGCCAGCTCAGAGCTACACCCTGGGGGCCACTGAGGAGCTAGGCCCTCGCACCTTCCCATCCTGCTCAAACACCTCCCACCCCGCCCCTCCCCCACCTGTCCCCCTACCTGTGCTTCCTCCTGACGGGGCCCCACAGCACTCAGCACACATGCTGGTGACTGCCGTGAGCAAGGACGGAGCTCAGGAAGCACCTACTCACCCCCCTGCCACAGGGACAGCCTCAGAAGCTGAGGATACAGTCACCTCACAGGCCACACACTTGGGCCACAGAGACCTCAAAATGCTACGTACAAACAAGCCCCAAGCACTGCGTCTTTCCATTCTGCAGAGGTCCTGCCTCCCCACAGACTCTTAGTTGCGGCAATCCAGAAACCCATCCTCCCTCCTGCAGGTACGACTACCCCCAACCCCCACACCTCCCAGCCACTCAGGTGAGCTTCCAGAGCCAGAGACAGACCTGACTCACCTGGTTCTGATGCAGAGCTCAAGGGGCGGGACGAGGTCGTTGTCTCTGTCCTCAGGGATGGTCTGGGTGGTGTCTGGGGGCCGGGAGAGAGAGAGACACACACACTCAGCCCGGGGTCTGAACGTGCTTTAAGAGACACACACACACTCAGCCCGGGGTCTGAACGTGCTTTAAGAGACACACACACACTCAGCCCGGGGTCTGAACGTGCTTTAAGAGACACACACACACTCTTTAAGGCTGGCACCAACAACCCACCTCCTGGGACCTGACTCTTCTGACATCTGCCCCGCTGCTCATCCTGACTGGACCCATCCTTGTTCCTGCCCTTTGGTTCTCTCCTGGACCACAGCGCTCTCCTCACGGCCTCCCACCTCCAGTCTCCACCCCACCCTCCTGCTCCCCGTCAGCTACCAGCATAATTCTTTCTAAAAACACATCTGATCCCATCACTCTCCTGCTCCAAAACCTTCCATAGCTCCTCATTGCCTGCAGAAGAAAACCCAGACTTGTGGGCATGGCGTTCGGGGCTCCCCACTCTGTGTTCTCAACTTCCCCATACACCACCTCTAATGCTATCAGTTTCTCAAGGCCCTGCTCCGGCTCCTCCTGTAGGAGGACGCGCCAACAGCCGCTCTCTGATCCCCCGGTGCAGACACGGGTCTGAGGGTCTACGTTGTTCTCTGACCGCCCCGAGGACACGCGAGGGCCGAGGACGCGGGCCAGTGGGGGCGGCGCACCAACGGTCAGCCGGATCTGCTCCTGCTGGTTGGCCAGGCCGTCATAGTAATACAGGTCAAAGAGCCTCTCGGCCCTCCAGTCTCGCAGGAGCTCTGGCTGCAGGCTGAAGAGGACGCTGAAGTGGCTCTCACTGCACACCACCCAGATGGGGAACCTCGGCGTCTTCAGGAAGCAGCCCACCTGCAAGAGGGACAGGGAGCAGAGAGATGCCTGTGCGAGCCCCAGGAAAAGGGCCCGAGCATCTTCCGTCTGACCCGGGGTTGGGCTGACCTCAGAGAGACCTGCTGGGGATCACGGCCTCTGAGGCAGGCTGGGAGCCCCTCGAGCGGCTCACAGACACGGCTTGTCTCCCGGAGCCGTCCCCCCGCCCCCAGGGGCTTTCCCTCATATCCACGGTCCTGTGCCGCCACCGTCCCCCATCTAGAGCACTGGGACACCCCACCTCCCCTCCCAGGTCCTGCATCACCCAAATTACCCAACCAGGGAGCACGAATCACCTCCCTCTAGCTCCCAGGTGGGGGTTACGAGGTAGCAGGTACTAGGTACCAGGTACACGCCTTCTCTCCTGCAGCGCATCACTGCCTCACCATGACGCGCCAGCCTGCCTCCTGCACACCGGACTATGCCCTTAGCACCAAGGGCAGGGGTTAGAAGCCAACATGAGCAAATGTTTGACGAGTGAGGGTCCTCATGCATGAAGTGGAACTCGAACTAGGCAGGACTTTACCTTGAAGACAGGTGGGCTTGGAACCACGGGGAGAAGGGAGAGGGCGCCTCTGGGTGAGCAGTCTGTGGGCGGTGCCAGAGACATCCAGGGACTAGCAGGGCATTCGGGAAAGAGCATGGCGGAAGGGGAGGATAAGGAGCTGGGACTTTCTGGTGAGAGACCTCCTTGCAAAGCTCCCTGCAGAGGGGTGTTCGGGGAAGGCAGATGACACTGAACAGGACCCTCAGTGGGGCTGCTCTTCAGGGCAGAGGAGTGGCCGGGGCCCTCTGCAAAGTCCTGCTCAGGGGCCTGGCTGGCTCTGCCCCTCGGGCTGGCTGGCCCTCTATGTGCTCTCTCCCCGTCACCTGTGACTCCCTGGGGCAGCACCTCTCCCTACCCTGGGCCCTGGTTTATTCAGCTCCATGCATGCCACGGGCCAGGCTGATTCTGGCCTAATCCCCACCAGCCCCAGCGAGATGTTTGCATGCTCAGGTATTTACAGCCACAGCCTGCGGATTAAGGAAAGAATGGGAATTATTTTTCCAGTGGGGAGAAGGGCATACTTTCTCCCGCCTGTCACAGAAGAGTGGCCGAGCGGTCTTCCTGGGGCCCCTCGGAGCCCTCCTGGGAGCTGACTCTGGGCTGGGGTGTCTCGGACAGGGGGGTTGTGCTCAGGTACCTAGTGAAAGACTTGCCCAACAAACAGCTGCCTCCTCCAGGGAGTAGAATAGCGATCTTTACAATGTGTTCATTTTCCCATTTTCCAAGCGACCTGCCCTGCCCCCACCTGGCCAGTAGGGCCCTCACCCCAGCCCCTTGTGACATTAAAGCGTAACCACAAAGCTCTCTCCTTCATGGATGTGGGGGAATTAGATGCTTTAGAGGACGTGGCTGGACGTGCCTAAACCCCACTGCAAACTCAGCTCCCACTCCAGGCTCAAAAGAGGCTTTTCTGGTGAGGGCCTTGCCTCGAACAGGGAGCCTTCTCAGGAACCCAGGGCTCGTTCACTGCAGGAAAAAGAGCCATGCAACCTGCCAGGGGGGCAGGCGTCTACATAATCAGCCACCCTGAATTTTCCAGCAGAGGGGACAAAAGGGCAGCTTGCCATTTATTCAACGGTCAAAAGATTATGGGCAAAAAAAGCTGCCCAGAGACTTTATAAATGAGTTTTCTCATTCAGGAGCCCCCTCCAAGTGGGTGACATTTTCCAAAGATGAAATTCACTTCCTCTGGGTTCGAAGGTGGCTGACCAAAGGCCTGGGGGCGAGGAGGGAGGGTGGAGGGCACATTTCCTTCAACACAGTCTGAGGCTTTCTCCTGGCCGGGGAACAGACGGCACCATTAGGAATCACTTTTAAAGGGGGATTCTTAAATCTTTTGCAGGGGTGAGGTGAGTACCCCCACACCCAGCCGTGGCCTGCCAGCTAAGAAGCCCTAATTTAGAAGAACCAACATTTGATTGCTGGCAGAGTCGCCGTCTGTCATCTCTAGGGGTAACCGTCATTTGGCATAACTTATGTTTCAGTCCCAGGCACTACGTAGTGCTCGACGATGTGGGTACAGCAAGGAAGGAAACAAGACCAGTCTTGTCCTCGGGGGGCTCAGCGGATTAATGGGGAAGACAGAGAGTAAACAAATAATCATACAGACACATCTGCACTGCCCTGGCCCGAATCTAAGATGCCATCAGAGTCACCCTAATTGTTTGTTTCACGACGAAAGAAAGCTGGCAGTTAAAGTCTGATCAGCCAGTGACTGCGACTGGGGCTCAAAATCTCAGAAACGTTCAAATGCACACAAAGTTTGCATCTCAAAAGCAATGAATGTGACACTTGGAACCAAGAGGAGGCCTACGAAGGAAAGCAGTAAGATTCTGTGATGCAGAGGCAGACCCCCACCTATTTAGACGGGCTGATTAGGTCAGGAGAGGCCTCCCTTAGGAAGGGACATTTAAGTCAAAACGTGAAGGGAGGAAACAGCAGGGACATGTCTCATAGGGCCTTGTAGGCCGTGCTAAGTTTGGGCTTTCAGTCTCTGCATTAGTTAGCTGGGGCCACCGGAACAAAGTTCCACAGACCAGGTGGCTCAAACAACAGAAATTTGTTTCCTCACAGTCCTGGAGGCTGGACGTACAAGACCAAGGTGTGGGCAGGACTGGTTTCTCCTGAGGCCTCTCTCCTTGGCTTGCAGATGGCCGTCGCCTCCCTGTGTCTTCACGTGGTCTTCCCTGTGTCCATGTCCAAATCCCCTCCTTTTATAAGGACACTAGTCAGTTGGATTAAGGGCCACCCTAATGACCTCGTAATCACTTCTTAAAGGCCCTGTTTCCAAATAGTCACATTCTGACGTACTGGGAGTTAGGACTTCAACGTGTGAATCTGTGAGGGGACATAATTCAGCCCCTAACAGTCTCAGAGGATGGGAAAACCACTGACAGGTGTGAAGCAAAAGAATGATGTGATTCAGTCTACTCTTTTAAAGATCACAGTGGCTTCACTGAAGGACTGAAAGGGGTTGGGGACAGGTGTCCAGACCGGCAATGCTGGTGGCTTAGACCATGGTAGAAATGGCCAGACCGGAGAAACAATTTAGGGTAGGAGCCACATGACCTCCTGATGGATCAGGCATGCTCCTGGGTTTGAAAAAGTGGGTGGATGGTGCTAGTTGCCCAGCTGGGGAAAATGGAAGGAGGATGTAGCTGGCAGAGCCCTTCCTGCCAAGCTTAGTCTTTGCTCAGGTCTCTTCATGAAGGCAGCAAGGTACGTACCCTGCAGGGCATGGGAGAAGCACTGAAGTTAAACTCCTGGTCTCATGCTGTCCCTTCCCTGGACTGCCGGTCCCCCCACCACAATCACCAGGAGCCAGGAGGGGCTGGCCTTCCAACTGTAGCCCTCAGTTGTGAGCTCTGGGTGGTGAGAGTGAGGTGCAAGTCCGATGGGCAAGACCAGCCCAGGGGGGTCATGGGGAGCGAATGGAGGTCCAGAACACACAGCCAGGCTGGGGCAGGGGACTGGCTAGCTCAGCAAGGGATGCATTTCTTGGTCCAGAGCTTCCTCTGCTTCCCCACAGGCACATCCGGAGTGTGGGTCATCTAATAAGCTCACTGATAGGCAGGACCTCCCTTACCCCCAGCCCCCACACACTCAGTGAGGGCCCCAGAACCAGGCTCCCAGCCAGAGGCTGCCATGAGAAGCCCCAGACAGGCTGAATGACAGGCAGGCCCACTTCTGCCCTCTGCAAGAGAAAACCTAAGCCTTGTAAGAACAGCCCCACCATGGACACCATGCTCCAAGCTGTCCTAAATGTCAGATCTTCCCCATGGCCACACTGGTGCTGTCCAGTGGAGGGGGACCAGCTTTGAGTGTGGATGCTAAGCCTCCCCAGATTCTTTCCACCCCCAACACGGCCAAACATGTAGGACCAGAGGAATTCAGTGACAGAGGGGATGGCAGGTGGTGGTAAGGGAGAGGATAGGCTTTGTTGATATTGCCAGATACCTGCCTTCTCCTTCAGAGGCCCAGTCCTCAGTTAGCTCTAGGGAGGAGAGAGGGCCTGAGGGTCCTTCCTTAGAGAGCTTGCAGCCCCAAGGCAGAGGAGCAAACACCCTCTTGTTGCAGAGAGATACAAGCCTCAGTCTTCAGCCAAGCATATAACAGTGGGGCGGGGGGGCGGAGAGGGGGCGGGGGCGGTCTGTGTGGATTTAAGAATTTGGATCCTTGTAGGTCCTGAATTTCTTCAATCAGCATTTTATTCCAAGGGAAGGATGACCCCCGACTGATGTTCCCATCAACTACCCCACAGACCAAAGGAAAATAGTTTACTTTTAGACCAACACCCTCAATACAAGAATGAAACCAGGGCTCATGATAAGCCTAGGGATTCCATGAGCCTGACCAAGGTTACCCTCTCTCAGCCCATGGAATTTTGGGCTGAATGCTTCCAGAGCCCACCCAGGGTCGGGTGCTCAGGGGCCCTGGTGCTTCTCCTGGCCCACGTGACCACATTCCTGGGCTCCCTCCTGACACCGGCAAATCAGGGGGGGAGTCGTATCATTCTTTTCTCCCCAAGTCTGTGGAGCCCACGGGTCGGCTTCCTGTCCGTGGGGGCAGGACCTGGAGATGCAGACGCACCACATGGCCCATTAGCAAAGGGACAACAGCCTGAACTCGTGATCATGCTGAAAGGGCACCATGAAACCAGCCAGACAACAATGTCTTCTCTGAAGACGCGAAAACAGAGGCTCAGAGAAGGTCGAGCAGCAGGCTAGGGCAGAAACATGGGGCCCGGTGCCAACTGCCCACTGTGCAGAGACATGTAGTCACCTTACCCTGCCCAGCTTCGCCAGGGGCCCAGCCCTTTCCAAGACCCTGGCTGCAGGGAGAGAGGAAGGAAAGGGAGCAGTGCACTGGCAAACAGACTGAGTGGCCTGTTAGGGTTGAACTGTGCCCCCCCAAAAAGATACGTGGAGATCCTAGCCCCCAGAATGTGACCTTATTTGGAATTAGGGTTGTTGTAGATGTAACTAGTTAAGATGAGGTTAGTGGAGTAGAGTGGGCCCTTAGCTCAACATGACCGACGTCCTTATAAGAAAAGGAGGAGACACACGGCAGAAAGATGGCCACGTGACGACAGAGGGAGAGATCGGAGTGATGAATCCACAAGCCAAAGAATGCCAAAGATTGCCAGAAAACACCAACAGCTAGAAGAGATGAGGGTGGATTCTCCCGATGGGTGTCAGTGGGACACAGCCCTGCTGGCCTCTTGATTTTGGACTTCTGCTATGAGACCTTCTGCTCTAGGACAACTTCTGTTGTTTTAAGCACCCAGTTTGTGGTGTTTCACTGTGGCAGACCTAGGAAACTGACATGGTTCTCCCTGTCCCTGGAGAAGACCCCATCCCCCCCACACACACACACACCCCAACTGCATCTGCTCTGACCCACAGTCACACTATAGATCCCTAGGAGTCCCTCTGAAACAACCTTTCCCAAAACATGGTATCGGCTGGCTTTGGGAGTGAATTCCACACAGTACTCGATGGCAGTGAAGCTATACTTCTTCCCAAACCCTCTGTGATTGAGACTGGACCAAACCGGGACTGGCTCTGGGAATTGGAGTTGACCTTCCCTTTCCCCGCCTTCCCTCTCTCCGGTCCCAGGGAGCTGGGCCCCTCTGTCTCCAGAGCCCTGCACCCCAGTACCTGGCACACATTGTAGTGCTCAAAGAGAGATAAGAACCCAACATCACTGCGTGCAGCTATGCCTTTGAGCAGCGTGATGTTCCCGTTCCCAGAATCCAGCTCCACCACGTCATTGAAAACATTGGACACGGCTTTCCCGGTCAGGAGCAGATTGACAAGTTCCTGTAGATGAAAGAAAGGGGAAAGGCTTGTCCAGGGGAGATCGGGGAACAAGAAAAAAAAGGGCGGAAAAGGAAGGAAAGCAAGGAGGGAGAGAGCCCCAAATCACAGGGGGCTGGGACTTGGAGTTCCCACCAGCCCTCAGGGGAAGCCGTCAGCCGCTCCTAGCCCACCGACTCTAGGAACTCATTGTGACCTTGATTCCACGGGCCCCCGTCCTGAGCCCTGGGTGGTGGCAGGGGAGTGGGGGAAAGATGGCTCCTGACCTTGGGTGTCCGGGCCTAGGGCGGGGATCAGGTGCATCCCTGCGTGGCTGAAGCTCAATGTAGGATGTGACTGGGACTATAAACATGTGCGCACGGAACCCTCCGGGGCCAGGCAGGGCACGGGACCACATGGCTGAGTCAGAGCCACTTTGTGGAGAAGCCACATTTGGGTGGGTCTTGAAGGATGGCATTTTTTTTTTCATAAGCTTTTTCATTTTGAAATAATTTTAGACTCAGAAGAATTTGTAAAAATAGTACAGAGAGTTCCTGTGCACCCTTCACCCAGCTTCCCCCAACGATAACATCTGAACACAACCAGCGCCCATTATCAACGCCAGGAAGCGGACAATGGTGCGAACACCAAGAAAGCAACTCTAGGTCTTACTTGGATTTCACGGGAGGATGGCGGGCTCTGGGAGCAGGGAGGGAGAGTGGAGGCCTGCAGAGGCAGACAGGCCGAGGCGAGGAACCCCAGTCTGGGGTCTAGATCTGTCCCTGCCCTCCTCGGCCCGGCGGCATCACGCATCCAGGGGCCGTGTGACTTCTGCTCCACAGCCGACAGGCCGACAAGCCTGCTGACCCCAGAACCTGGAGATCAGTGACCCTCTGGCCGTCTCCTTCAGCCAGTGCCTCCTGCACTGAGGCGGCAGGAAGGGAGGGCCCTTCCTTCAGCAGGGCATCTAGGGGTCCAAGTCCTTGTGAGGAGTGGGGACCCTGGGGCTCCCAGACTGGAGAGGATTTCCCCAAGCCCCACAGCTAGTTCATGACAGAGCTGGATTTCCACCCACATTTTCTAGCATCCTGCCTGGTGTCCTTCCCTCTCCTCTCACCTGTTACCCGCATGGCACCACCTGGCTACCCAAGATCCCAGGGGAACCCCGGCCGCTAAGTGCCTGCAGTACCACCGAGGAAGGCTCCGAGTAAGCCCAGCCTTAGCACTTGGGCAGGCAGCACCCTCTGCCTGACCCACCCCATCGAGGCTGGCGCGCATGGCAGGCCAGCAGGCAGTGATGGCCCCACGGTACGTGGGAATGGCCAGGAGAGGCCTTTCCCAGCATAAACTTTGGAGGGGAGAGTTCACAGAAGTGTTTTCCCCTGAATTATAAAAGCCAGGCCCCAGTGAATAAATCCCTTCGTCAACACCAAGACCCCTGCCCTGGTCATAGTAAAAGAGGCTCCCGCTGATGGCCACAGAGGGAGCCCCATTGGAGGGAGATAGCAAAGGGGCCTCATTGTGTCTTTGCAGAGGAAATGAGAAAGAATCTGGAGGAAATGTCTGCTCTGAGATACTGCACCTCAGGGGCAGCGGCTGCTAAGAAAGGCGAGGCCTTTTTCAGATGGGTTCGAGTTTTCCCATCTGGTTTTCAAGGGGGAGAAAAAGGCCCCTGTTCCCCATCTGTCTCAAACCCTCCTCAGCACAGGAAGCCCTCTTGAAATGGGGGAGAAAGGAGAAATAGGCTGCTCCCTGCCCCAAGACTCAAAATCACGCAGTGGCAAAGCTTAGTGGTCATGTAGCCCCTTGCTACTCAAAGTGTGGTCCGTGGACCAGCAACATCACCTTCTCTGGGAAGCCTGTGAGCAATTCAGAACTTCAGGCCCCAGGCCAGACCCACTGGATCTGAGCCTGCTCTTCAACAGGACTCCCGGGGGATTCATGGGCACATCAAAGTTTAAGAAGCACTGGTCTAGTCCAAACTCCTCCTTCTACAAACGAGGGAACTGAGGCTTGGGGAGGGGAAGATCAGCCCAGCTTGGGGAGGGTCAACTGCCAAGATGGTGCCTGTGCCGTGGCCCTCACCACCCCAGCTGGCCCAGAGCCCCCAGTCCGGCCCCGGGGCTCGGACTGGGGGCTCTGGGCTGTGTGGCCCCTGGCTCTGTCCTTGTGGTGCCAAGCACACAGATCGGGCACGGCAAGCTCTCCAGGAGCGGAAACTGAACTGAGTGGCCTTTCTAGGTCTCCATGACAGAGGTTGGCACATGAAAGCTGCTGTGAGAGGGCTGGCAGGGGCAAGGAAAGAAGGGGGGAGGAAGGGAAAAAAGCACTCTGCTGCCCGGCACCCCACGGCACCCCACGGCACCCCCTGACCTGGGTGCAGTATCCATGCGCTCCAATCAGGTGGCTGGTGGGGACATCGAAGTCCTGGCGGACACTAGAAGACACAGAAGGAGTAGAATTAGCATGTCTCTGCCTGACTCAGGCCTCCTGGGCAAACCTCTCGGGGTGACCAGGGGCTCCTCTCGGGCTCCAGGCTGAGGCCCAGAATTCTGGATGCGAGGGCAACCCAGGGCTCCGCAGCTAACACTCACTCTGCTCTGGGCAGTGGCCTCCCCTCTGGCTTCACCTGGGCCACTACCGACACGCAGAAGGGTGGCGGAAGCGTGATACAGCGGAGAGGCCTCTTCATTTGCAATCCAGCACCCCGAATCCTCACTCCGACTGCCGCTTACCAACATGGGCATGGGGACATCCCCTTCCGTCTCCAGGCCTCAGCCTGTGAGTCTGTTCAATGGGCACAGACCATGTACCAGGCCCTATACACGCATGGTTCCCCAAATGCCAAGAGAAAACCACTGCTCAGAGCAGCCCGACTTGCCCAGGGCATGGGGCTTCTGGGCTATGGAGCCGGTGGGGGACTCCGCGGCCCGTCTTGGAGACCTGTGCTCTCCCGACCCCAGGTCACAGCAGCTCTACCCTCAGAAGGGGGTCCCCTAAAAGGCATGAGGTAAAAAGCCCCTTGGCCGAAACACATCCCTCAAAAAAGAAGAAACCGATTTCTTAGGGCTGTACAGAGCTGGGGACCAGGAGTCACTGTCAGGATGGCTCTGTCATAGGGGAGGTCAGCACCAGGAGGCAACCCCAGGCCCCCATGAATCTCAACACTCTCTGACCATCTAAGAAAGCCCACCACCAGGACACAATTCCTTTTCCCTTCCCCCACGCAAATGCTTCGGGAGACCAAGTGTTCTTGTCGACGTGAACGGTGGACGAGTGAACAGGAAAGGAGCCGGCATCCCTGGAACGCAGCCCCGCACCCGGCGAGGTAAGGATTACTATATTTTATAGACATGAAAAGACTCATAAGGGCATCGCTGGGGGTGATGGGAGGCTGTGGCACATGCCCTGGGGCATGGGGCCCAGCCTGCCTCCTCCGGCCCTACCCCGAAGAGGCCACAGACAGACAGCCCAGAAGAAAGGGCTCAGCAATCACAATGTTTGTTTTCCCTTTTAGTGGATGAGATGAGAAACCTGGTCTCAATTTTAGGATTTAAATCTAAGATCTGCCAGAAGTCCACAAACCTAAAAATCCCTGGTCCCCGTATCCTTCCCAAACGAGTTTAGACACTCAAGCTCCGTGACCGATGCCGGAGAAATGCTTTCTTGTGGTTTTTAATAACCGTGGCCAAATGGGGATGGTCTGTGGTCCACGCGGGAAGATGGGCCATGCTGGCACTGCAGGGGCCCGGCGGAGAAGCACGGAGGCCTGGGGGTCCTGGGAAGGGCCTGGGAGGCTCACCCACCAGAGACAGCCCAGCAAGCCTGGGAAGGACCCGGTTGGGGCGCCAAATGGCCGAAGGCAGCACTCGACTGACGCTAGCTCAGGCAGAAGAATTGATGGAAACGCTCTCTGCTGCATAAATGGGCATCTTCTGAAGAGAAGAAAATAACCTCAAAGGAGCCCTGGGTGGACTGATAAGCATCGCTGGTCCCGAGCCAGCTCAAAGCTTTCAGAAGCGGTCTGATCTTCATAATCTCACAGCCTCGTGCTCACCCAGCGGGTTTGAGAGCCTGCGTCAGCTGAGAGCAGAGGGACAAGCAGAAAGGACAATGGGAGGAAATGGTAATTGCATCCTTAGGTGCAAACACGATGGGAAATTCAGGAGTGAGCGCGGAGCTTGAAAGGGAGGAACGTCTGCGTTTCACATTAGGGCATTCGCGAGACACCAGGGAGCAGCTTACACGGCTTAAGAGATTTACAACTTTGGCAAATCTAGATGTCCAGACCTCCCTTTAGGGGAATTCCCTGGAGAGCGGAGTGTGAGGAGTCCTTGAGCAAAGGAAAAAGGGCAGGGCTGTCACTAGGTTGGAGTTCCAGCCCCAGCCTGCCGTGTGGCAGTTAACCTCTCCTCTCCGGGCCTCAGTCTCCCCTTTTGTGACATGAGGGCCTTGCACAAGATGCATGGTGTTATGGGCTGACCTGTGTCCCTCCAAATTCATATGTTGAAGCCCTGACCCCAGTACCTCAGAATGTGGCTGTGTTCGGAGACAGGGCCTTTCAAGGAGTGATTTAAGTTCCCCAAGCCCATTCGGTGGGCCCTAATCCAATCTGACTGGGTCCCTGCAGGAAGAGGATGCGGGGGATGCGAGCTCGCAGAGGAAAGACCATGTGAGGACACAGAAGCAGGCTGCCACCCACAGGCCCAGGAGGGAAACCAACCCTGCTGACACCTTGATCTTGGACTTCCAGCCCCCAGAACTGGGAGTTTCTGCTGGTTAAGCCAGCCAGGCTGTGGTGCTTTGTGACGGCAACCCTAGAAAACACAGACCAAGCAGCCTCCAACATCTGTTTAGGCTCAGAGCTCTTTCTTCAAATGTCATCTTCTAGGCAAAAGCCAAATAGATAAGACATAAAAGCAGAACTGCTCCGGCCAAAGGTGTCCCATCTTTCTCCCTCTTCCAGCCCCTGTAGCCCCTCTGGGGAACCCCCAGGTCTCCAAGGTCATGCAGCGTCCTGGGAGCAGGGGCTGAATCTGAGGAAGGGTTGCTTGGGCTCTGAGATCCCCACACTTGCTGGGCTTCTAAGCCAAAAGCTGCGAGGAGCCCTTCCCTGGGACCAACACCATTCAGTCCAACGGGCAGGCTGTCCCTTCCCCAGTCCACCTGGGGACCGGACAATGCTGGGCCCTAAAAAAATTCTGTACAGCCTGGGGCCAGCGACCAGGCTAGGTGACAGAAGCCAGGAGGAGCCTCGTCCTGATGAAACCTGCGCCCTGAGGCTATTGTGCACTGGGGACCCCCTTTGGGGAGCAGGAGCTTGCCTGGATTTGGGATTCCAGGAAGCACAGGGTGGGAGGAGCCTGCATAGACTTGCCCAGGGCAAGGAAACTTATGAGGAGTGGCTTGGCCCTGGCTGCCTTGCCACAGACCTCCTCAGCATTCTGGGAGCCAAGGGCCAGAACCTGGACCCACAGTCAGAGTGACAGCTCACCGCAGAAGTATCCAGAGGAAGAAGGACAGAGAGCTCTCTGCCCAGGATGCCAGCAAGGCCTGCTTCTCCCGGCTGTGCCCCCATCGAGAGTTCCCAGAGACCCCGCACTGTACCAAGAAATGGAACGAAGAGGACGCGGGGGCTGGCAGAGACCTCAGGGCTCAGCAGTTTGCAGGTGGGAAAACGGATGCATAGCGAAAGAACACAAGTGGCCTGGGGCTAGGGACAGGTGCCAGGCCAGACTGAGCACCTGAAGCTGGGATAGAGCGCCTTTGCCTCCCTCCAGTCGCTCCTTGTCACGTGTCTCCAAGGGGCAGACGTTCCGCCACTGAGCAGCTTACAGGGCTTGAGCCCTGATTCTGCAGAACCTCGAAGCTCACTTTCAAATCCACCATCCTCTCTAAAACCTTGTGAGACCAGAAGAGCCAGAACTGCCATCTCCATTTCACCAAGGTTCTACTGAGGCCCAGAAAGGAGAAGGGACGTGTGGTCTTGTGATCATACGGTCAGCAGGCCAGGACTGTGTCCCTGGCGCCAACATCACACAGTGTCCCACTGCGGCCTGAAACATGTGATGCTCAGCCTGGCTGGCCAGCCCCACACAGGCCCTGGAGCCTTGAGGCCCCACGCCGGGTCCCACCCTCCCTGGCCGGGGCACAGCTTGTCCCTTCACCCTAAAGCCTCCCCAACGTGCATCCAGACATGTGAATCTGAGCATCTGGTATGGAAGTTTCTGGATAAGAAGAAAGTAGGTCTAAGTGGCCCCGAGACATGGTTCCAGCCTACCGTCAAAGCCACTCGCCTAAAATCAACGTCCGTGAGGTGGGGTCAGTGGCTAGCTCGGCCTCAGACTGGCTGAGTAACCTCAGGCAAGTCCCTGCCTCTCTCTCAGCCTGTGTCTTCACTCAGAAAACCAGAGGCCTGGAGCCAGGGCTCTCTGGGGACCTTCTGGGATGTGAACAAGTGTGCCTGGGTCAGGACTCTGATGTTTAAAACATCATGCCTAAAATAGTTTGTAATTAACCCAGGAGGATCGGGCCAGCCACCTCCCCTCCACCTGACCCCAAGGCACCAGGCCCCAGGAGCACCACCACATCCAGCTCTGGCCAGGCCTCCCTGCTGCCCCCTCCCTTGGGGATTCTACTGACTTTTGAGGACCAAGCAAGTGAGAAGAGCAGCTGTGGAACCACAAGGAGAACCTGGGTTCCAAAGGCAGGGGCCCCTGCATTTGAATCCAGTCACTGCCGCTTACTGGCTGCTCCCCTCTCTGAGGCTGCCTCCCCCCTGCAGTAGGGGTGGGACGGTGCCTCCCTCTACTATAGACTGCTGGGAGAACAAGGTGAACTATATTAAGCATCTGGCATTCGGTAAATGTCACTTCCTTTTTCCTACGATAACAACAATAATAACAACTAAAAACACAATGACCAAGAGGTCATGAATCCCGCAACCTCAACGGCTCATGTCGCGGCCAAGAACCCAGAATAAATGGAGGCCTGCGAGCAGTCAAAATGTAACTATGAATATCTAAAAAGGACTTGGGTAGAGCGGATATGGACTGTTTTCCCAGGAAGGCCTGCAGGGAGTGGGCGATGAGTCAGGACACCTGCATGGCAGGCCCCCGCTGCCACCTGCCCTGTGTGACCTTCCGCAAATTGCTTTCCATCTCTGAGCCTTCCAGGTGTCATCCCTTGATGGGGATAACAATGTGCACCTCAAAGAGCTGTTGCCATAAGGGCCCCGGCCTTTACAGGGCCTCACAAATAGCACAGAGCTCCACAGGTTGGAGGGGCTGGCTGTGAATCTCCAGGCAGGGGCCGGGATAGGAAGGGGCGAGGTGGGGAGGACCCCAGGAGGGAGGGCAAGGTTCACGGATGGAGAGAAAGGAGCTGGCCTGGAGGAAGGAAGGGAACACAGAGGGGCCCAAGCCCTTCCCAAGCTGC